ACTTGTATTTACCACAGCCAACCAGCAAAATAATTCATTATAAATAGACAATTACAAAATATATGCATTTATAAAATGTAACAACTGGAGTCTGGATGAAGCTGGCTGGGTGTGTCCAGATAGAGGCGCCGCCTTTCCAGGAGTCTGGAAACCACTCCTACCGCTTCTTATCCCATAGGACTCGGACCTGGCAAACCGCGAAGGAGGTTCTGGAGGCCGAAATTTTCAGTTCGAGTTGGAAATAGGAACGCATGAGTGATTTTTTTGTTTGTTGCATATGTGCAATATGGATGTGTAGTGTGGCATTAAAATAGCATTTTTCTTATTTTAGAACGTGCTGCATTTTTATTACAAGTCTGAATAAGGATAAATATCTTCAAGCAAATGGGACATAATTTTTATTGAGAGTAAAATTAATTCAAAAAACACTGGTGATAAAATTTCAACAACCTTATCTCAAAAGCTTGAATACTGCAAACTTAGACTATAATGTCCCAGCTTAAAGTGCCAAGAAAACTTTAAATGAGTTTGTCGTCACAATACAAGACATTGTCTAAGTTTTCGCTTCTATCTAAGTGTCGGTAGTTTACATAAATAGAACTGATTTCCAGAAAGCTCATACAGAACCAAATTGCAAAAAAGACTTGAATATTATATAGGACAAAATGTGTTTATTAATTCAATGTGACTATGATAACATAAACATCTGAAACACCGAAATGTGTGTATACGCATAATATCTAAAGCCTCGTGGGAATCTAGAGGTTGCCTAAATAACGAAATAAGGGAATATGGGTAAAACGAAATTCCCCATGATAAATAATAGAATTCAGTAAAGCATGCATAGTTGATGAGAAACAATAAAAAATAAGTCAGGGAAGTTTGCTAGTTTTTTAACTTATATTTTTTACGAGTTTACATACGCTAGATCTTTTATAGAGGCTACCCTCCATAAAAGTAGGCATAATTCCTTTGGGACTTTGGCGTACCTCCCTAACAGTTACGTTGTTTTCCCTACCCCTGGCTTTTTAATCACGCCAAATCAAAAGCCTCGGTATATTATTGTTTTACGACTTGCGTTCCCTCTAAAAATTACATTTTTCGTGTACACAGAGCTCGACAAAAAAGAAATTAATGCATGATGTCCTACATAACAATTTGATTATTTTGAGCTTGAAAAATATAAAAAAAATCACAATTCTATTGCATATTGCAAAGAATTACAAAATCACAAATTTCAAGCAAAAACTCAAAGTTTTATGTGTGTTTGCTTCATTTTCATTTGACTCTAGCTCTACTTCTTCGTAAAATTGGAGAGGGTGGCTTTTTTCCAAGACAATACAGGGGTTGCCAATGTTTTATAACCTGTACAGGGATGTATAGCTATTACTGGATTTACTTTATAGCTTAAAGGGACCATAAGATCATGAAGTTGTTTTTACTGTCAGGGCGACATAGCGAAAATCTAATAGGAAGGGTCTTATTTTTTTCATTTATCCTCAAGCTGTGCGTATTTGTTTTGCGAATAGATGTTATTTTGGATAAATGCACTAGTTAAAGTTATTTTTAGCTTCCTAGATAGGAAGCTATGGTGATTGCCCGATTTTGACCATGTCAAAATTTCATTAAATCTTGACGTTTTGGATCATTTTAAGCCTTTTTGGCAAGGTGACACATTTCCGTCTGTGTATGTGTTATGTATGTATGTATGTATGTGTGTTGGCATTTTTCTGAGAAAACGGCTCGATGAATTTTGATGAAATTTTGGAAATAGGTATAAGCAGACGTGTAGGGAAAAGTTACACAGAGATATAGGAAAAAAAATCCTCTCCAAGATATGACGTTATTGATCTTTTTTTTAAATGGGAACGCCATCTTTTTTTTTATTGATTGGATAGAGCTCATTTTGCTTTATATAATCCCAAAAATCTAAATAGGTTTCATTAGGTAGTTATTTATCTAGGAAGCGTTATGGCAAAAATTTGACATCTGGTTTATATTGTTACGGTGCGCTTTCGTATACAAAATCCATGCCTAAAATTCCAGAAAAGACTGCTTTGTTCAAGAAAGGGGATTATCGCATTTATTCTAGATATTTCTAGTAGTTTTCAGTTTAAGATTGGCTGTGATATGATTTAGATAGTGATTATTGTTAAGAGTTGTAAAGAGTTAAGTTGTTCGAATTAATTAGTGAAGTAATTAGTGTCAGTATAGTGATTGTTGTGTTAATTGGACTTTGATTTTTGAATAAATGAACCCAAGATTTTTGTCACGTATCTCAGAGCCGTGACATTGGTGTCAGAAATGAGATAAAATTTGAAGTACAACCAACCGCTCACTAGAAACCTGTCACTACGAACGGTCACGGGCGAATCAGCACCAGTTCAAGGAGAAGCTATGGTTGAGCTTACTTTTGGATCTACCACCTTTAGGCATAGAACATTAGTCGCCGATGTAGAAGATGATTTTATTTTGGGAATGGATTTGATCGGCCAACAGGGTTTTTCTTTCGATCCTTCCATAAACATCCTTAAATTTGGTAAGTAGGTAATGAAGAATTTGTCCTAACTATACAAGAAGAATCCCAAGCCGTTAAGATCCTGACCACAAACCCAGTGGGGATTCTTGGAAGTACGGAGAAGATTATTTGCGGAAAATTGGAAACAAATCCTGGGTGCTGCGTTGGTATAACACATAATTTTATTGGAGATAAACCAGAAAAATTTCTCGTTGGAAAGACTCTAATAAGAACAAATGCAGACATTATGATAAGAATTGCAAATATTTCTTCTGAAGCAGTAAAAATAAAAGAATGAGATATTATTGGAACTCTCGAACCAGCAAATATTGAACTGTGACCTACCAGATAAGCGACATTTTGAAAAATCGAAATTGGGTACAGACATCTTGATGCAGACTTTTGAGAAATCATGGAAACATCTCGACCCAGATAAACTTTAGGAAGCTACAGATTTCATCTTGAAAGAAGCAGACGTATTTGTGATGGATAATCAAACCGGACGACCAGTTTGATTCAATACAAAATTAATACTGGATTGGCACACCCAATTATAGACAACCACCTCGACGTATGACTGTAGCTAAACAAAAGGTGAAAATCCAAATTGATAAAATACTTCAAGAAGGAATTATTGAAAAGTCAAATAGTCCATGGTCTGCGCCAATAATATTGGTTACGAAGAAAGAAAGAAGTCTTGAATTTTGTGTGGACTACCGTAAGCTTAATGACGTCACCAAGAAGGACAGCTTCCCTCTCCCGAGGATAGACGATACATTAACAACTCTATCGGGCTCCAAATAGTTTTCCACCTTGGATCTCAAAAGTGGATACTGGCAAGTGGCAATACACAAAGATGACAAAGAGAAAACTGCCTTTAGTACCGGAAGAGGGTTATACCAGTTTACCGTAATGCCTTTCGGATTGTGTAATGCTCCCGCTACGTTTGAGCGACTGATGCATCTAGTTTTGAAAGGCCTTACATGGAGAACTTGTCTGGTATATTTTTCGACATCTGTGCTACCAGTAAAGACCCTAAACTAAGACCTCGGGGGCCCATTTAACAGTACAACGTCGGTCTCGCATTTGAACGAATAGCGATAGATGTTGCCGGACTGTTCCCTGAGTTAGAGCGTGGTAAAAAATAGATCTTGGTTATCATGGATTACTTTAGTAAATGGCCAGAAGTTTTCGCTATTCCCAATCAAGAAGCCATCACTGTTGCCCACAGGTGTTAATGGACGAAGTTTTCATTCGTCATGGTGTGCAACTAGAGTTGCATTCAGATCAGGTACAAAGCTTCGAATCTGTCATCTTTAAGAAAATTTGTGAGATCATGAGTATTCGTAAGACAAGGACAACACCAGTCTGATGGCATGGTAGAATGATTTAATAAGAACGGAGAGAAATACCTGATGAAATTGGTAGCAAAGAACCAGCGAGATTGGAACAAACACTTGCCTCCATTTTTAATGGCTTACAGAGCAGCTGTTCACGAGTCATCAGGTGAAAGTCCAGCTAGAATCGTTTTTGGAAGGGAACTCAGGTTACCTTGCGATCTGATGTTTGGAATGCCTGAAGAAGAACGAAGAGAAATTCGAGATTATGCCGACGAAGTAAGGGCACGACTTCTGGGGATACATGATTTTGCTCGATAGCACATTCAGCTGGCTCGTGACCGAATGAAGACCATCAGATACGACTTGAAAGCCAATTTAACCAGATTTCAAGAAGGTGATTTAGTGTGGCTGTATAATCTAACAAGAAAAAAAGGAGTGTCGCCGAAATTGTCTTCAGCATGGGAAGGACCCTACAAACTAATCAAGATGATTATGGATGAATTCATGATGATTATTGATTTGGTTTATTGAGTTCAGCGCAACACCAGGAGTGAGATAAAAGTTGTACATCTGAACAGATCGACGAAATATCATGGGCGCGAATTTGATCGAGACCATCAACCTTAAGAGGAGGACAGTATTTACGGTGCGCTTTCGCCAACGTATACAGAATTTATGCCTAAAATTCCAGAAAGGGGATCATCGCGTTTATTCTAGATTTTACAAAAATGGATTACAGATATATAAAAGACGGTATTAGTTAGTAGTTTTTAGTTAAAAATTGGCTGTGATATGATTTAGATTGTGATTATTGTTAAGAGTTGTAAAGAATTAAGTTGTTCGAGTTAATTGTTGAAGTAATTAGTGTCAGAGTGTATAGTAACGTGGAATAAATTATTGTTGTGTTAATTGGACTTTGATTTTTGAATGAGTGGACCTAAAATTTCTGTCACGCACCTCAGAGCCGTGACAATATTTTACTTATCATAAGCCTACTTAAATATGGTCTAGTCTAGAGCACAACATAGTGTGAATCAAATAATTAAACAATTCTATGTAGGCCTCTTGTGTATAATTCAGTTTTCTCAAGATTCTGTTTGTTGGTCTTCAAATTCCATTGTTTTTGCATTCGTCCATTTCAAATGGCTTTGGTAAGTTTTTCAGATACAGCTTCTGACTCAAAAATAAGATCTCCGATGTTCTTTGAATTTTGATACCCATCTTTAGTACCTAAATTTCCTGTTGAATTCGGCACCCAGAATATCTTTAAACTCCTTAAATAGTTTGCTTCCTACCAAAAGCAAGCCATATACGTGAACCAGTAAAAAAGATTTTTATATTACGCTCAAATTCGTCATAGAAACACTTGTCGTGATTTCATTGTATCGTTATATAAATCTTCAAAAATTAGTTCAATCTTCCATTTCCAGCCCTTGGAGCTTGTTTTAGCCCATATGACGTCTTCTGTAGCTTGAAGATTCTGTCTGATACATGTCCAAACCTATCATAGAAAGTTTTATATACACTTCTTCATTCAAATAACTATGTAGGATCGCATTCTTGATATCAATCTCAGAGAAAAAAAGATCTCATGCAGACAGCACTTAGAAGTCTGCTAAGATTATGTGAGGAGATTAAAATCACAATGAGCGATTGGCGGGAACCTATAACAAGCTGAAGATCTCTGGTGAAAGTATAAAAACTATCAATGAAGTGAAATCTGTGCCTAATCCTTGACGCTCATGAGATGAAGGCAGAATTAATTTCGTTACTTTAACAATTCTCGCCTTATTCAATGGATGGAGGTAAAATACCAAAAGCTGAACCAAAATGCGGATCCCGTAGCGAAAAATGCATTTACAAAATCGATTGGAGAATGGTTGCCGGATTCATATTGCTCAAGTTTGTGATTTTTGCCGGCTGACTTTTCTGTGTCATTTCGGATCCCCCAAACTCGATACACTAAATTATTCTGAGATTTGGAGCCGGAATCTATGAAAAAAAAAACACTTCAAGGGCTATGTGAAACCTAAGATCTTTCACAAGGACCAAGTAAATATTTTTTCAATTTTTCAAAGGATAGACTACCTTCTGATAATCTTGTCCAAGGGCTACTAAGAACCAATACATAGAATCTTGTAGGGCCGGAAGGAAATTGGGGTGCACAATAATCCAACAGGCTGCAGTGCATGGAAAGTCCCCTACAACCAAACAACCAACCAACTGGTGCAGTGCAATCGAAACCTTTTCAATTCAAATTTCTATCTTCATCATCCTCAAACTTTAAAATTCATTTTGCATCTACTGCTTTTATATTTGGAGTACTTATTTTTCGCTTCGGGCATGGTTTTATCTTAGTTCATTTGATCAAATTCCTGTAGAATATTGTCAAGAATCGATTTGGCTCTCAATACAATAAAACGTTCATATTCTTATTCTGATTTGTGCCAATTGATTTTTCTTATTGGATCTTCAAGCTTCTACCTGAGTTTCTTGATTATTCTGTATTTACATGTTTTATATCACCAACATTCTCCAATTTATTCGCGTTCGCGTTATTATTGGCCATTCCTTTTCCTCGTCGTCAGATAAGGCTTCAAATCTCTTCCACATCCTTGAATTTGCCAATACTGAACAAATTCTCATCGAGTTCGACATCATTAAATCTATGGAATTTCTTTGACTTTTGACATCTTAATCTGTATCCGTAGATATATGGAGTTTTTCATTGTTTTCCTCTCTTAGATGATGAAGATATGCATGATAACCAAAAATTCCTATAGGTTTTAAGGCTCGGCTTCTCTTGACTCCATAATTCGGCTAGTAGGTACAACTGCATCTTTTAGAGCTATGGTTGATGAAGCATGCTTTTTCAATAACGATAACCTCATAGCACGAGGAAAATTCACTGGATTTTTCACTTAGCGCCTGTAGGTACCTACTAAGAATTTTCCACATGGAAAATATTCCGATTTAATAGAATTATTAGAATCTAATTTTTGACAAATCTAATTGAGTCGCAAGAAGTTCAAGCTTAATCCTTTACTCATCCTACATACCTACGTAGTTTAACCCCTATGTAGGTACCTACGCTAAAATAATCTAAATTAAGAGAACTCTGCGGTCGCTAAATGGGATCATTAAAACCCCCATTTTGGCCGCCTTATTACGATGTGTGTCAACCAGGGGAGCCCTTCATTAATACTTGATGAACAGAGACGACGTTTTTGACCCCGAATCGTCTGATTTGAATCTTTCTACTAATGAGTTGGTACGTTTGAAATACTTTAATTTAGCAGTTTGCCTAAAATCAAATGTCATTCAAGAGATTCCAAGAAAAGAAAAATTTAATCCAGTAGTGTAACCGCCCACTATATTTATCAATTTATCAACATCACAATCGCATAATATTTTATTTTCTTTTCAAACTGCAAAACGAAATGATGGATTCGTCCCCGGAGACATTGGTCACAACATTCGATGACAAATGTTTGCGGAGATGTCGAAACTTTTGCTTTCGGCTTTTTTCGAGTTCGAAACTTTTTAGCGAAAAATTACCAGAAAATTGAATTTGCCTATACGTATTCGTAGAAAAGTTTCTAAACGTGTGTGCGGGTGCGGTCAGGCCGGGGGTTTTTATTTTTGTTGGCGACCCCGGGGCTGAATCCCCAAGGAATTTTGCGTCTTGACATGACCAAATGACAATAAGCTTTCTTGCAATTTTCAAATAAAAGGTTTTTGCATATTTTTTTTGCAACTTATTTTCTTGCAGCACCAATAAAAGTACAATTGAAAACTGTAGAATGGAAACTCTTTTTTTGTATACCTACTTAGACTTTACACCGGGATTGTTTCTAAGCGCTTTCAAATATTCAGGACGGACTTCGCCGGAGTTCTGAAAGTTCACTCGTGATTAAGTTACTTGTACAATTACAAAGTCAAATGCGGAGTTGAGAAAATGTCGTGCAACTTTGGAAAGAATTAAGTTTTAATTTTTAATTGCAGTTTGAATACGTTTTCGGTGTCTCCTCGGGGAAAGATCTGGCATAATGGGGACGCTTGGGACGCGGGAGAATTCTAAAGTAGGGAAAAACGTGAATTTTGAAGTAGACATGAATATGTGAAAGGGTTAATAAGTGAAAAGTATTGCTTGCTTGAGAAAAAGATTTTAAATCCTATTTTGCAATGTATTCGATTTTAAACTATAGTAAAGAATATCTCCATGCAAAACTCGTGGGCATTATCAATCACTCTTGGATGCCACAAAAAACCCTCCAGGACCGGAAATCAACCCTCTCCGACTCTAAACTCGAAAATTTCGTATTCTTTGTTTCTGGCAACTGACTTTTACCCTTAACTTATGGCTCTTCATGGCCGACAGTTTCTTTTTGGAAGGCCGCGGGCAAATTTAAAGGATTTATGGGGATGTTTTGCCTATTCTTCTGCTCCGGGTTAGACCTCTGGAGTATATTTATCATTTGGACTACCGAGCTCTTAAAAGGATTATTTGATAGAAGACACGTAGCCAGAGGATTTTAGTTTAAAAAGATAAATTTGGGATTGAATAAGAAAATATTTTTTTTTTTAAGAAGAGACTTTATGAACTTTAATGTTTTATAATCCATATTTTCTGAATTCTGATTTGTGTTATAACCAGACACAGATACAAAACCGTTTCGTCATTACTCCGTTTCAATATTACAGCGTTTAAATAAAAATATACTTTTCAAGCAAAAGCTTAATATTCCAAGATTTGTATAGTGCTTTGCCAAATTAAAAACCCTCGAAATTGAAACCGCAATTAACAAGTATTAAAAAAATGAATAAAGCAAAACAAAGCTGTCGTGGTGAAAAGACTGAACTCCACCTGTTCTTGCATCCGCTACCGGGTTTGTTGTAAGAAGAAAGAACACTCTTTTTTTGAATCGCCCGGCGCTGGTAAAAACGCGGAGAAAGAGATTCTGGTAGCAGCGTATCCCCGACACCGATCCCGAGGGAAATCCGGGAGCAACCGGCCGCGGCAGCATTGTCAAACACCCTCCTGAAAGAATATCATCAGCCCGGCAACGGCGGTGAATAATCCAGCAGGAGTGGGCGATACAAGTGCGATCAATTGTTAAAATAAACACTCACTTCTTTAAAAGATGGTCGAATGATAAAAAAAAGGGTTCGTCTCTTGTTTGCTTTTGGCAGATATTTACCCACTTGGAAAGTTTTAGTTTTTTTTAATCACATGAATTTGATTTCATTATTATTTAAGAGGAAGAATCCAGATAGTGGTTGTCTATATTCTAAAATCAAGTAATTTTCCATGAAAATAGTATGTCTGAAAGATTTATATTGATACCAATTATTGCAATAAGCTGTACAGAATAGTGAAAACACATATAAGTAACAGAAACAAAAGTAGCAAGCAAAGTCAGCAGGTTCAGTATCTGGAATCGCCTAATGTGCGAAAAACATTGGTAGACTTTTGGCTGTGGCGCCATCTATTGCATAAATTCGGCAATATTTTGTTATCACTATCACCTTGCTCGCAAGACCTTTAGAATACAAGTCCGGTTAGTCGACTAGCAGCCATTTCAAGTTTTGCCTTTGACATGGTGATATGAATGATTTTCTCTATTTATAGGATTCTCACTTCACCTTGTCGAGGGTCACCTGCCTTCAGAAGTGGGGATCCTGTGCAGACTTGATGGTGGCTTATTCGACCTAAACAGATTACGGACCAAGACGAAAGTATCGACGACATCGATAATTGAACTTCAGTATGCGAATGACATTGACCTCTAACCTAGGATCACAACCTTTTCCTAATCGAAATCATAAATGTACCCTTGTATTTACAAACAATACTGCGCTATTGCCATATCGACAAAAAATAATAATATCGGGACGTAAATGGAAATTCTGATAACAGTTCGTATGATTTTCTGAACAAGTTTGAATATCTAATACATGAAATAACCGAGAAACTGTTTTCTCTGATTATATTGTCTTTTTTTGAATTTGGATATTTAAAGAAACCTAGGAAAATCAGTGCGGAAACAGTAACCATCTTCGAAGAAGCCACTCTACAAATCAAACCGGCAACGCTGTTGGAGTATCCTACACATTTTTCATTCACTTTCAGTAACGAACATTGGCGTGG